AACAGAAAAGAAAAAAAAAATATAGTAGTTTCTGTCTCAGAGGAGGCCCTGAGGTGTGACAGTCTGTGGCTTGTGCACCCCACTGTGTCAGGCCCACTTCAGGTGCGAGTGCTTGTGTGGTCTTGCAGTATGAAGGGGCCAGTGGGGAATGACCCTGGACCGAGTGGGCGTCCTGTCTGGAACGCCGGGCTGGGTAGAGGATGATGGCCATGGATTTCTGGTGTGTACATTTGGGTCCCTGTCTTTGCTGCAGGGAATGGCTTCTGTCAGCCATTATCAGATTAGCAAGGATAACAAGGACGGAGGGGCCTGCTGCAGAAGGCCTGCTGGGAAGCCTGGGGCTTTTGAACTGTGGTGCAAGGGAATGGCTGGTGACCAGAGTAGGAGATAATTTCACTGTCTCTGAGAAATCCTGGATCCCACCTGGCTCTGTGATGGGTGAGGGTGGTGCAGGCTCTCCTGAGCTTATAGCCACACAGACATTAGCTGTGTGGTTCTGGAGGTCAGCCCAGCCTGCCCGGTGTCCCAGCAGAGCTTTCTAACGGCAGTTAGAAATGCGTGACTAGGATTAAGACTGAGGTCCCAGCCCAGGCAAGGCTTGCAAGTTGCCATCTTCACAGAGGTGAGAGTGGGAGCCAAGACCTTGCCAGATTTACCAGTGGGGACAGAGGACCATGGAGTCATGATTCAAAGATATCTTCACTCAGGGATCAGAGGAAGGATGGTGGGGGAAGAGGACCAAAGAATGGTGTCAGGAAGGCAAGAGAGGAGAGTTCCAGATAGGTGGTGTGCTGGGGGAGTGAGAACTGGACACCACCGGGGGTCGTCCAGGAGCGAGTTGCTGCCCCTCTCCCTGAGTTTTATGCCTGTTAGAATGTGAAGTTTAATTATGTGGTACAGATTAATAAGATGCAGCAGGGAAGATCGTCGTGCCTCCCCATTTCACAGGTGGTGAAACTGAGGTATAGAGAGGCTAGGTAACTGCTGAACTAAAATTGGGGGGCAGGGATGTCAACTCAGGCAGTCAGGCTGATCCCCTACCCTTAAACGAACGCTGATACAAGGTGACAAGGAGTGGGAGGGGCAGGGGGTGAAGTAGACCCCTTTTCTTTCCCCTTCAGACTTTTTGAGACTTAGGGGTTTGAGTTGTTTGATGCAGACAGCAGAGAAAAAGAAAAGGTTAAAAAACATTTTTTTCCCTATAAGTTTCTCTAAAGTTTAACCCCTAAAGAGCTGGGGAGTTTTGATCTGACTAAACCAGGCATCAGAGGAAGGATTGGGTGGGGGATGATTAAAGAAATGAAATGTGCTCCATCTGTCTCTTTGTCCTCAGTGGCATCACTATGTCACCCTCAGTAGAGTGCTACAGTGTCACAGCTCACAGCAATCTCAAACTCTGGGACTTGAGCAATTCCCTTGCCTCAGACTCCCAAGTAGCTGGGACTATAGGCACCTGCCACAGCACCCAGCTATTTTTTTGTTTTTAGCAGGCTAGGGCTGGGTTCAAACCCACCAGTCCTGGTGTATGTGGCTGGCACCCTACCCAGTGAGCTACGGGCACCACTCAGACAAGTAAAGTTTCTTGCATGAGCCAGAGTTTCATATTGGGTGGTACTGAGCTTGATGTCACCGTGACCCAGCCCAAGACTCATGGATTTGTACTTTTTCGTACCTGGAGACTGAAGTGATGGCTAATACATTTCTCAGATTGTTAAATGTCTCGTACCTGTTACTTTTAGGGAATATTTATGGCCTCACGTCTTGGGAATGCCTTTCCCAAATGCCACTTAATGCAGGTAGCGGCTTTTTAAAGAAAGCAGCAGACATTGTCAGTGATTAGACCATGCTGCCCTCTAGTGTCTGACTCAAGCCACCACAAGCAGGAACGTCTAGCAGAAAGCTGGTCCATTATTCCTTAATTCTGAGGTTGGGTGTGAATAAGGACTTTGTGTATAACTCCAGGTGGATCAGGTCAAAAAGGTCACAAGTTAAGGGGAAGTATCGGACCTTCTATCAGTGACTGATGTGAAGTGTGAGATGATGTCTAAAAAAAGAAAGAAATAGATAGTGGGTTAAAATTCAGCATGCAGATGAGGTGGAAAAATTTTTCTAAGTCTGGTTTAGCAGCTGTGCCAATATCCGCATTGTGTCCTTGTCTCATGGAGAAAATAAAATGAAAACAAAAATGTGACCTTTCCTCTTGATTGCTGTCTGTTCACAGATGCTACCCTCGGAAGCCTGGAGAATGGGACAGGACCAGAGGACCACGTTCTCCCAGAGCCTGGACTTGGGTACAGGTTAACGTTAAGAAACAGGCTGCCTTTGGGATTGAAGTGTCCTATTCACAACAGTGCATTTTATTCTTTTTTAAAGATAGGAGGATACCTGCTAGGGTCAAAGGGCAAGGCCTTAACTTCATATGTATGTTCCATCACAGAATGCACAGTTGCAATAATCTTAGATCATCATTCCTCAGAGAGGCTGTAAAAGAGACAATGGTTGTCAGAATTCGTTTGCATACAACCTTTGCTTTTTATACTTTTTGGGTCATATCTGAGTACCTCCTCTATCATAATTTTCTTTAAATATTTGTTATTGTTTAAAAATAATATTTAATAATCCTAGTGTTATATAAAATTTAAGCCACTTAGATATTATATAATATTTGTGAAGTGCTTAAAGTATGGTGGCATAAAGTAAGTGCTATATAGGTTTTCTTCTTCTTTGTTCAAATAAAAATGTGTCAAGGGGAAACCGAGTTACCCAAGGTCATTGGCTGTTCAGGTCTCCCTGGTGCTGCCAGTATCCGTGTCGCTGTTCAGGTCTCCCTGGTGCAGCCAGTATCCGTGTCGCTGTTCAGGTCTCCCTGGTGCAGCCAGTATCCGTGTCGCTGTTCAGGTCTCCCTGGTGCTGCCAGCATCCTTCTTGCTCTTTTTTTTGAGACAGAGCCTCAAGCTGTCCCCCTGGGTAGAGTGCCGTGGCATTACAGCTCACAGCAACCTCCAACTCCTGGGCTCAAGCGAGT